CCTGTTTACTATTGTTATGCAGGTGTTCTCTCTATTGCTTAACAGAAGGATAAAAGACAGTGAAGGATTCAAATTCCATTTTTGATGTGCTTCTCAAGAGATTTCTCATCTTAGCTTCGCTGATGACCTAATTTTGTTTTGCTATGGTAACTCTAGCTCTGTTCAGTTATTGAAAGATGCCTTAGATGAATTTTCGAAGTTATCAGGTCTCTACCCCAATTTATCAAAAAGTTATATTTTCACCTACAATGTTAGTCAGGAGCTTTAAGCCATTTTCAAAGGTATCACGGGCTTTTTTGAGGGCCATCTTCCTGTCAGATACTTGGGTGTTCCGCTCATTACAACTAGACTTAAGTACAATGATTGCCTTCCCCTGATTGAGAAAGTTGAATCTAGGTTACAATCCTGGAAAATAAGAGCTTATCTTATGTGGGGAGACTCCAGCTTGTCATATATGTGCTTTCATCTTTACAAGTCTATTGGGCCTCTGTGTTCATTATTCCCAAGGCTATTACCAAGGCCATAGAGTATTTGATGAGGATGTTTCTCTAGTCTGGAAATGAACTTGTCAAGGGCAAAGTTCGTGTGGCCTAGAAGGATGTTTGTGCTCCTAAAGCTGAAGGTGGGCTGGGAATTCGACCTTTAAGCAGATGGAACTCCTCTCTTTTGGTTTGTCACTTGTGGAGTGTAGTTTTAGATAGGAATTCTCTCTGGGTGAAATGGATTCATTTCATCAGACTCCGAGGGTGAAACTTTTGGCACATTAAAATCCCTTGGGATGCAAGTTGGAGTTGGAGACAAATTCTTAATCTAAGAAAGATGGTTCGCAAACACATTGGGGTGTCGGTTTGTAATGGTGAACACACTTCTTTATGGTATGATTCTTGGCATCCCTTTGGTCCTCTTGAGGAGATTGTCCTGCCTAGAATCTTTTATCAATCAAGATTAGGCTTTAAAGCTAAAGTTAGTGCTATCCTTAGGGATGGGGTTTGGGAATGGCCTTTTGAATTTCGGCAGGATTACCCTCTCATTGTCAATGGATCTGCCACACCCATCTATGATCATTCCCATGACCGCACCTACTGGAGAACTAAAAAAGGCAAGCATGTTTCCTTCTCTTCCTCCCAAACTTGGCATGACCTGTCCCCTGACTCTGGGAATGTGCTTTGGTTCTCCCTGATCTGGTTCAGTTCGTGTATCCCTCGGCATTCCTTCATAGTCTGGCTTGCTATCAAGAGGAAACTCCTAACGCAAGACTGTATGGAACTTCGGCGCACTAATGAAGTCTTGAGCTGCTCTTTTTGTAAAAGTCCTTGCGATTCACATGACCATCTCTTCTTTAATTGCCCCTTCACCAAACTTATTTGGGAGGCAATCCAATCCAAAGGTAATTTTCGAGCTCCTCTCTTTGGTTGGGATAATATTGTCTTGTGGTGTGCTTTCTCATTCCGTGGCAAAGGCATATTAGCTATCATCAACATATTACTTTTTGGGGCATCTATTTACATTATTTGGCAAGAAAGGAACCTCAGACTTTTCCAAGGTCAAAGAAGAAGTCGTGAAGCCCTTGAAAAGCTTATATATGGAGAAGTTAGATTGCCGTTATGTCTTTTAAATTCAAAAGAAACCCTAGCGTCCTCTCTACTCTACAAAGACGGGATATCCCGGTTGCTTGAATTGGATTCTTTTGCTGATTTGTGATGCATGCTGTATAGATATTTTGTATAGTGGCCTTCTTTTGTTTATAACAGCCTTCTGCTCTCGTGTCCTTCGGGGCTTGTTTTTGATGTGGCCCTTGCCTCTTGTGTTTCTCTCTTGGTCTTGTCCAAGATGATCCTTTTGTGAGGCTCCCTCTTTCATTGTATTTTTTTTTTTTTAATGAAATTACCGGTTTACCCAGGAAAAAAAAAAAAAAGAATATACAAAGTGACTATTGTTGGAGTTGTCGACTACTTCAGCATTAAAGGGTAACGGAGATGCACTCGGGGGTCCCGCTGCCCGGTCAGCGGGCGGCTGCCCTGCTCCTCGGTGAGCGGGCAGGGGTCGCAGGGGCAGCGCCCCCGAGCCCGTAGGCGGTTTTGGGCTTTTCCATGTATAACCGCTGTAGGATTTCTTTTAAGTTATTAATTCCTTTTTTGGTTGGGCTTAGGAATAGGAATCCTTGTAAAACTAGGTTTAATCTCTTAAACCTAGTATATAAACATACTTTTCTCTTGTTATGAGTGTGAAAGCAATTCATTCATTGTAAACGAGAGAGGTGAGACATATTGCAATAATATTGACTCAGCTGGACGTAGCCCACATTGGGTGAACCAGGGTAAATTGCGCGTATTATTTTCTTTGTTTACTGTTTATTTTGTTTTACTATTATTATTTTGTTCCTGTTGTTGTCTCTATTTCGTTTAACTATGAGAGTGGTTTGCTTACATTAGGTCTGGAAATTTTTGTTGACAAGCTCTTGAGCTGAGCAACTGCTCATGTAATTGAGTGACTGCAGTAGCTCAGACCAGCACAAAAATTCAGACTTAGCTCTCAGTACCGCATACATTTGTTCAACTGTAAAACATTGTTTTGCAACTGAGTCCATTTGTTGATTCTTCAATCAACAGCTCGTATCTTTTTTTGCTTTGTAAATGACTTCTAAAGCTGAGGGAACTTATTTCCAAGCTGTTTTTTATAACACGGAATTTTCCCTCTTTTATTAATTTGTTTTTTCTTCTCATTTGACATGCTTAACTTAGACCTAGATAACTCTTCTATTATCAGTTTCTGGTGATTCAATTCCAGTTGGAAATTTAGAAGTTGTATGAAGATTTTTTATTGCATAGTAATTAGACGCATATATTTTCCAGATACTATTAACCAAACTGGTAAAGCTGTAATTTTTAATTTTACAACACTTGTCTACTAATCTAGTTGCAGATATTCTAAGATCTTTGGTCATCGAACTTCTCCCATGCAATTAAGTTCTGATGGCGACTACTTATTAATTTTACACGATAATTTGTTATTAGTACTAAATTTGTGTAGGTGTCCGATAATTGCTTTCAGATACATATTAAAATTTCTGGCATCTTGAGCAAGAGGTGAATATAAAATCCAGGGCAATGCCGTGCCAAAGCAGCATGTTAGCTGGTGCTACATCTGGAATCTTGTTAGTACATACTTACATATGGCTGGCAATGAAGGTTTGTGATGAGGATGGTAGGCCATGGATATCACGTTCTTTGTTTAGACATTAGCATGATACTGAATCTTGTATATATGAATGAATATAACATTTACACTAAAACCCGGCAATGGGATTGTGGCTTTAAGTGCACCTCTTTCATTCCTTTGAGTTTTGTGGCCAATAATAGAACCTGCTTGTACTGTGTACAGGTGGTCTGATTTAATCTTGGCAATGGGATTGTGGCTCTAATTTCTCAGGAATGATATAAACAAATTCCGTCACTCTTAAAATGTAATGATCAAATTCAAAGGTATATATTCTGTATCATTACTTCATTTATAACTGGAAGTCGAAACAGGCAGGATGTTTTCTCCATAAATAATGTTTAGAAAAAGAAAAACAACAATGTCATACAGAATCTTTAATAAGCGATTCTCAAATTTAAGGGTTTTAGAAACCAATTGTATTAACATTTGAATAAGATTAGTAGTATCCTTTAAACTTTATGTACAAATCATACAAATACAAACTAACTGATATATAGGGCGAATATGAATATAAATTTGAAAGTAACGTAATGAACGAGGATTAATGCGTCTATACTTACAATGATATGTATATCTAGTTATATCTACGACTTGGGATAATTAGTTTTGTATGAAAGATTTATATGTATCTCTTGATATAGGAGAATTAGTTTATACATATAAAAATCATGCGTTAGACATGCGTAGGATTAGTCGTCCTATGAATTTGAGGGGAACAAATCATGAAAACAAATATAGAGAGAGTAAGATTGCAGGCTACTAATTAATAATATTAGTCCAATTTCCAACTATGGAGTCTGAGAAAAGTTGCTCTCAGAATAAAGATGCGTAATAAATATAGTGATGAAAAAACACAAGATCAGGAGGTTGTCAGTGGAGTAAAAGTCCATGTCTACAATTGACACCCACCTCCTGTCTCTTCTCATCTTCTTCATCATGTACGTACGTTATTCTGTTGGATTGAAGAGAAAATATATATGAATATCATAACCCAACCAAACTCATCAGTGGCTGAATGCAGGTTTCCACGATGACTAACTATCTTGAAATCTCTTTCCCTTTTTACTTATTTATTCTTGAAAAAGAAGAAAATAGGATAAAGGAAGCTCACTATTTGCTTTAGTTGCTAAGTGCAAAATTTGTGATATTGTTAAAAAATGCTAGACATTTATATTTATATATCTTTTCTTCTTCTTTTTTTTAGAGGATTGGATTATGTACAGAAATGTATCTTCTATTTCCCAGCTGGAAATTAATCTCTCCTTCAAGTTAGAAGTCTCCGGAAAAAAATAAAAAAGGAGGCATAAATGTAGTGAAAAGTGTTTATCTGCCTCATATATCTAAACACACACACATACATATAAATAACATATTCAAAGGGAGGGTTTTCTTGGCATGTTAAGAATCAACAAATTTGCAGGACTAAAAATCAAACCACGGAACCCTAGAAAGGCCATTTCAGTAGAGGGAAAACTAACAGAATAGAACTCAAGCATAGCTAAATTGCTAAGACAGGAAACGAAGAAGAAACAATAAATTAAGCAAAGAAAGTAACTTGCAATCTTTGTTCAAGACTGACCAGTTCTATCCCAAATATAACAAGGGTCCATGCATTGCAGTATAGGCCATAAAACATATCAACAAAGTAAAATCACATAACCAATAAATACTTATAGAATATATATTAAGACATTACATTACATTACATATATAAAATGACAGAAAAATGCATACGTTTTGATTATCCAATACATAAACCAAAAATGCTAATTATACCCTAATTTAGAGATTATATAATTATGATAATAATAAGATTATAACGTGAAACAAGGAGAAAAAAAATTAATACAAGAAATAGAATTCATGGTTGGTAAATCTTGGAAAGAGCTTGCAAAACATTAACTTGCAACCTCAAATGCAAAATGTAATCTGCTGTCTTTAAAAAAAGCCGATCCGGCTGCAACCCTTGTCCTCCCGGAATTAACTTCTGCAACTTCCTCACCTTCAAGCGTACCGAACCACCACGACGACCCGTCGTGGAACGCCTTCGTCTCCTCCTCCATTGCACTTTAGAAAACTCCTTGCGCCGAGTAGACTCCATTGATATTAATTAATGTTAGTATAGCTATGTAGCCTTAAAAACGAAAGAAAGAAAGAAAATAGAAGTGAAAAAGCTGTAGCGAGGAAAGTGGGAATGAATGAGTAAATGAGAGAGAAGAGGGGAGATATAAATTGATAAGAAGAGAGGAAGGATTTGGAACCGGGGCATGTGAGCCGACCCATGACGATGATGGTGAGAGGTTTTTTTTTTTCTTGGGGGAATTAAGTTGATAACATTAATTTTACATTCAAAACGAGTGTCGTTTTGTGAGATGTGGAAAGGTGATGGGGTCCTGAGTATGCATTAGCTTGCTCTTTCAACGACCTACGCACGTGTATGACAGCTCTCTCACACGCTCACACCACTTGCTATTCACTAACACTAATCACCCCTCTATATGTCTCTCTCTCCATCTTTATCTATCCTCGTAATCCCCGAATCTCGACAGTTAAGTTACTTACCCCTTTCACACGTGTTTTCATCTTAAATCCTTTTAAATTTTAATTAGCAATAAATGTGACTTAAGAAAAGCATTAGCAAGTTGTGTTAAAAACGGTGACGTTTGACATGTGTGGTGGAGGTAATGTAATGTAATGTTGTCCAACCAGGTTCCAGGGAAGAGCTGAACTGCCACTTCGTGGGTGATGTGGAGAGAGTGGGTCACTTAAACAAGTTGGGAAAGGTTTTGACTGTTGGGTCAAGGAAATATTCCTGTTATGGCCATAAACAGTCTTGGTTGTCAAAAAAGAAAAATCAATTGATTGGCTGGCAAATAAATGGGATTGACTTGAGAGGTAACCGATTTGATTGGATGTTTATGTGGACCTCCTGAGCTGACCCTCAACTTTACATCCATGGCCCCAACAAGGAATATTTGCTTGTTATTTCTCTACATTTTTCGTATTAATTAATTAATAATTAAATTGTGGTTAAAGTATGGGCAAAATCTTGACAACTAGGCCATGATATATGACGAGGAAATTAATTAAAATATGTGCCACACACTTTGATAGTTTTTTGAAATTAATGATTGGATATGTCTAAGTTTCAAATCTTTGATATGACTCTTTGCGTTTTTGTCATGTAATTTTATAACAATAATTCATGCTAGCTTAATTAATTAATTAAAAATGTAACTCCATCTTTCTCAATTCAAAAATGCTACGGACATCAGGATTTTTGCACCAAAATGTTGTATCGGTGTACATGTCCCTCGATTCACACCAGCAAACCAGACATGTTTCACGTTATTTTTATTTTTTTCTAGTGAACGGCCATTCATCAAATATGGACGGCCGTTCATCAAATATGGAAGATCGTTCACTTACATGGACTCCCGTCCATATTATATGGAAGAGGTCCATTTATTACAGACGGACGTCTCTATTTAAAGGACGACCGTCCATGAATAAAAAATTCTTATAAAATTAAGGACGGTCGTTCATAGGTTATGGACAATTGTCCCTAAATATAGGACGAGTGTTCATATTTTAATGGATGTCCATCCATTAACAATTCTTTTTTAAAAATTAAAAAGCATTTAGGGACGGCCGTTCATCCATTATAGACGATCATCCCTTCATTTTGGAAAGGCATCCGTAATTTTGGTTTTAAAGAATAAAAGAAAAACTTTGCACTGTGGACGGCCGTCCTTTAAGTGTGGATGGCCGTCCGTTTTGGGTAGTGCACAGTCACCCTGCTCAACCATAAATGGCTGAATCTTACTCTTCTTCGAACCCTCCGGAAACAAAAGTCATGTGCTATTGCAGCCTATTGCTACTGAACTGTCTGTGTTGACAACCTCTATTCCTTACCAACCTCATTTGAAACAACATCAAGCTTCTTTTGGTCCTCCCCCTGGACGTTGACAACACCTTGAACGCTAGTCAAGTTGGAACTGCTGGCTTTCTGAACCAAAGAAGCTATTTGGATGGTCGTCCATCTTATAGGGACGACTGTTCGCATGAGATGGACAGCCATCCATTGTATTGTATCAACAACTTTTTCCTAAACAATTGCAACAACAGCAGCTCCAACAGCAAAACATATTCTTACTCCCACGGATGGTTATGGTGGTTCCCTAGCTGTTGCTCCTACTCCTTTGGCTGGTGCCAAATCAGGTGACTTTGAAGTTGAAGCTTACCCAGTAGGCAGTTAGATGTAACCATGCTGGCATTACTATGATAGCCTTAGAGCTTGAAGGTCTCTGTCCCTAGGAACGTGATGTTAGGTGTTCCGGAGGGGCTCTTGGTTTTCCTCGTAACGTTGTTCATTAACGGCTAAGCCCTCATAACATGAATGAACTGCTAAGGGCGGCTGGTTATGGAGGGGCAACGATTTCCAGTCGACTGATACTGATAAAGAAAAGCAACATAACTCAAGGTCGGCAATAGGCTACTCGTCGGCAATCGGCTACTCATACTTGTTAAGTTATAGTTCAAAGTCAGGATAGAAAGGTAAACATATGAAAGGAATGAGAGCAAGAGACAAATAGGCCAGCTCATGTAGACCTTGACCATGCAACGAGCAACTACTCTGACTAATAGACCAGAGAAGATCGTGGAGGAAACAAAGGCACGAGGAGCATGAGACAAATGGGACAAAGGAGGCATCGAAAGAAACTTTTTTTTTTTTTGTTCTCAGCACCGGCCGAGCGGAGTGAGAAGCTGAACTAACTAGTAGTGATCGCATTTCAAAGAGCGAGCAGAAAGAAAAAAAAGAGCTTTGAGGTTTGTGGCAGGTGGCCCAGGTAAGGCGAGCGTAGGGAGTGTGACTGATCTGAGTCAGCGTAAGTCACAGCTGTTGGTGGCGAAGCGCAGGTCTTCTCAAATGAAAGTACAAGAACAAGTTAGAAGCTAAACGAAACGACGAGTGTTGAACCTACCTCTTTCGTCTGCTGTGACTTTGGTCTTCACCGCAAAATGGTAGGTCTTCTTATCTTGATTATTGAACTCTCCTTTTTTTTCTGAGCTTCTACAATCAAAATTTCCTTATCTTTACCAGTTCCCTGTCTTAGTCTTTCTTAGGTTCTTTTGTAGTTACTACAGAAGAGGATAAGCAACTGTAAACAGAGCATGGGAAGAAGTTGAAGTAGAGAGCCGTCCAACAATCTTGCTACAGAAGGAGGTTAAATTATCAAAAGCGAAGAAGAAGCAAGCTAAACTGGAAATAAGAGCTCTAAGTATGTGCTTTTTAGACATCCGTCCATATAATTTGGACGGTCGTCCATATTAACTGGACGACAGTCCATATTAACTGGACGACAGTCCATAGAATTTGGACGGGCGTCCATTGTTTTTTTTATTTTTATATTTACATTATGGACGGGCGTCCAAAATGAAGGGACGATCGTCCATAATGGATGAACGGCCGTCCCTAAATGTTTTTTAATTTTTTTAAAAGGAATTGTTAATAGATGGGTGTCCATTAAAATATGAACGTCCGTCCTATATTTAGGGACAGCCGTCCATAACCTATGAACGGCCGTCCCTAATTTTCATAAGAATTTTTTATTCATGGACGGGCGTCCTTTAAATAGGGACGTTTGTCCGTAGTAAATGGACCCCTGTCCATATAATATGGATGAGAGTCCATGTAAGTGAACGGCTGTCCATATTTGATGAACGGCTGTTCACTAGAAAAAAAATAAAAATAACTTGAAATGTGTCTGGTTTGCTGGTGTGAATCGAGGGACACGTAGGCTGGTACAACATTTCGGTGCAAAAATCCCGGTGTCCATAACATTTTTGTTCTCAATTTGGCATGGAATGCTAAGTCATGAATTCATGCTACTTTGTCGGTGCAACATGTGGCATGACATGAATACTCTATACCCCAAATAATCTTCAATTCTTCATTCTCCACTAAATCAAACATATTAATCTCTTATTGTACCATGTTTGATCACATGACCCTAGTTTGTACCATGCGATAATTAATTAATTTAAGTTTATAGTAACAATTACTAAAGATTTAGAGGAGATCTAGAGAAGATGACGAAGAAACTAAAAGGAATCTCCAATGAGTTGACTTGCCAGTTAAGGAGGTTTGCTTCATTTCTTGAAGTCTTAGGTTCAAACTTTGAGGTCACCTAACACAATAACAATGTGACTTATTTGATTTTTTGGGTTTGTAAGGTGTTCAATAAACTCGAAGATTTGTTGAGGTACACGCAAACTGACTTGGTAATCTCAGTTACAAAAAATAAAAAAAATAAAATAAAAAATAGTAGGAGTGAAATAATTAAGCAGAAGTTGAGCCGGAGAAGCCATAAGCCATTAGCTTTCATTAAGTAGAAATGGAAGCATGACACGATTTATATGGAAGCTAAGAGTTGAAATGATTTGATATATAAAATAAAAGGTCAACTTCCATGGATTACATTACATATAGTATAAAATAAAATATGGATATTTAGATGATGATATAAAAATTGATTGTTTAGTTTTACATGCAGAAGGTGCTTGTATAGATTTATAATTAAGGTGCCGGTCGGTACATACAGAGAGTTAGCGGTCCCCTATTGATCACAAACTTCCATGGGTTCACCATCACGAGGACAAGGTGATGGCATGTGAAGGATGGTGATGACTTTCTACGTACATACACACACACACACACACACACACACACACACACACACATATATATATATATATATATATAGGAGATACGTATGATACGATATATATTTATATACATGATGATGATGTATATATATATGTGGGGTGAGTTAATTAATGCAGAGAAAGTGGGGTGAAGATGACTCCACAACCTCATGTGCCTTGTCCATCCATCAGGCTTACATGCTGGCTTTCATTTTCACTGAAAAATCGGAATTAATTCAACTGAAATTTACCCGACTGCATGCATTTGTGTTTGCCTATCGAGAAAATGTATATGTTTCGGATACATTTTTCATGTTCATGTCATCCATGGACTCAATGTGGCAACTGAAGGAGAAGCATTATTGGCAGTGAACTATTCATGTTGTTGCCTTTGCGGCAGTCACAGAAATTCCTGGGGATGATGAACTGGAAAACCTGACCTGCATATGCAACGAGTGATGATGGATCGATGGTTTAGTAGAGATTGTATAATAAATTAATTGATTTTCACTCTCACCAGTTGACTTGTATCGTTTA